CTCTCAGCCTTTGTTGTTGTTCAGTCGCACAGTCGAGTCCGACTCTTTGCGACCCCATGGACAAGATCCCGCCAAGCCTTCCTGTCTTCCGCTGTCCTCTGAAGTTGACTCAGTTGACTCAGTTTCATGTTCGTTGCATCTATGACACTGTCTAACCATCTCATCCTTTGCCGTTCCCGTCTCCTTTGACCTTCAATCTTTCCCAGCATCAGGGTCTTCTCCAGTGAGTGCTCCCTTCTCATTTGGTGGCCGAAGTATTTGAGCTTCAGTTTCATTATCTGGCCTTCCAGGGAACAGTCAGGGTTGATTTCTTTTAGGATTGACTGATATGATCTCCTTGCAGTCCAAGGGACTCTCAAGAGTCTTCTCCAGCACCATAGTTCAAAAGAATCTATTCTTCGGCGCTCGGCCTTCCTTATAGTCCAACTCTCACAGCCATACATGAATTGCTTTGACCATGCGGACTTTTGTTGGCAGGGTGATGTCTCTACTTTTTATCATGCTGTTTAGGTTCGCCATTGCTTTCCTCCCAAGGAGCAGGAGTCTTTTAATTTCATGGCTGCTGTCACTGTCTGCCGTGATCTGGGATCCCAGGAATGTGAAGTCTGTCACTACTTCCACGACTTCCCCTTCTATTTGCCAACCCACCTTATAACTGGTTGTTGTGAGGATTAAATGGAAGAGAAGCGAACAATGTTGAAAGCTGCTTTGGGTTCCCACTGGGGAGAAAAGCAAGGAATAAATATATAAATAAATAAAACTGTGTCCATATGGATATCTGGAGATTGATCCTCAGTCTAATTCAATACTGTTTATTCCTTTGTATTTGTGTATTACATAGATGCTCCTCCATGTGATAGTATGAATTGTGTGGCACAATTTCAGCAAGTATTCAAATGTTCTTAAGGCTCATAGTTTAGAAGCGTTAATGATCCAGTCCTAAACACAGTTGCACCCTGCAAAGTCCACTGAATCAATGGTCTTAAAGGTAAAGGTAAAGGTTCCCTTGCTCGAAAGCCAGTCGAATCTGACTCTAGGGTTGCGGTGCTCATCTCCGTTTCAAAGCCGAAGAGCCAGCGCTGTCCGAAGACGTTTCCGTGGTCATGTGGCCGGCATGACTAAACACCAAGGCGCACGGAACGCTGTTACCTTCCCACCGAAGTGGTACCTATTTATCTACTTGCAATTTCTTGCTTTCGAACTGCTAGGTTGGCAGGAGCTGGAACTAGAGACGGGAGCTCACCCCGTCTTGCGGCACCCGGGTCTTGAACTGCTGAACTACTGACCTTCCACAGCCTGCAGTTTAGCGTCTTAACCACTTGAGCCACCACAGCTTAGAAAGGCGTAATTCTGTTTAGGATTGTATTGTATGTCACTTATTGATTATAAGCATGACCAGAAGCCACAGATTCAAGTCTTGGCTCAGGTTTGGTTGGCTGTAATATGGAAATAATAACGGGGTTTATGCAAGTGTTACTGAGATGGCATTTCTTTCTAGGGTTGCCACCTCTGGGTTCAGAAATACCTAGAGACTTGAGAAGAGTAGGGTTTAGGGAGGGGAGGGGCCTTGGGTGTAGGGCATGATGCCACACAATCCATCTTCCAAAGCAGCCGTTTTCTCTAGGAGGAGTGGAATAAATAAATAAGTTATTTATGTAGTCTGGGGATCAGTTGTAATTCCAGGAGATCTCCAGCTCCCACCTGGATGTTGGCAACCCTATCTTTGAACAGTTAGGGGAAAGTACTGTATAACTACAGTATGATTTAAGAGGCAGTGAAGTTTGTTAGATGGAGTATGGAACTGGACGTAGAAAACCCAGACTGAAAACATATCTGCTCGCGCTCTCTCTTTCCTATTTTGCAAATCACTGAAAGTAACAGCAGTGTGCTGGCCTCCATGTAGGTAATGAAATCTGGGTAAGAAGGCCAGCCATGACTTTGAATGATCATTCAGCAAACCCTGCTTGTTTTACTTACGTTCAGACTGGCAATGCAGTAAAGCCAATCGGAACCCTAAAATATCCTTTTATTCTATCCTGCCTCTCCCATTACCCTGCCCTAGCCGTCCCGTCCCTACCAAATGCCACTAACAACATTTTTTTAAAATAATAGAAAAAATGGGGAGGAGAGGGGAAAGTCAGGGAAAGGAGACTGTGAGGCTAAGTCAGGGAAATATGTAGCACTGAGTACAATTATTACTGCTCCCAAGTGTGTACTGGATTGCTGTCTTGGTCTGTTATTCAGACAGATCCAAAAATTTCTCCCTTATCTGATCATGCTTGTCCAAGATTTTGCATCAGTAGCATGATTTTTTTTTTTCCCTTTTGGAACATGTTCTCTGTCCAGTCTTCGGCGTTTCCTCAGACTTCTAGGGTTTATTCTGTATATTTAGCTATAAATACTGCTTTAGAAATCTGTTTATTATATTTTGGTAGGCCCCGAACTGAAGAATTGTAGTCTAAAATTAGATAGTTGAAAGAAGAATGCATGCAGGTTGACAGAACCACAGCAGCCATTCTCCTTCATGCCAGAATATTGAAAGCATAGGCAGTTGGCCCAAATAGATCCACTAGATTGGGTTGAGATCCTTTGTGCCTTCAGCATGGATTGTTTTGAGTAATCCCACACTTAAAAACCGTAAGAACAACCCTGCTGGATCAGACTAAGAGTTCATCTAGTTTAGCATCCTGTTTCCACAGCCAACCAGTTGCCTTTGAGAAGCACGTATGCAGGACATGAAGGGAACAGGCTCTCTTGCTGCTCACCCCCAGGAACTGCTATTCAGAGGTACACTGCCTCTGAACATGGAGGCTCCGTATAGCTATTGTGATTAATAGCTATTGACAGACCTAGCTGTCTGAGCCAGTGGCTATTGCTACTTCTTGTGGCACTGAATTACATTAATAAATCAAATAAATTGTGTGAGGTGTACAGAACTTCCTTTTGTATGTCCTGAATCTGCTATCCAGCAACTTCATGGGGTACCCCTGAATTCTAATATTATGGGAGATGGAGAAAAAGCTCCCCCTATCTACTTTTCCCACATAATGCTTAATTTTATGGACGTCTAACGTCCCGTCCCGTCCCCCAGTTATCGTTTTTCTAAACCAAAAGGTGCTCTTTTAGACTACTCTTGTCAGGGGGAAATTATTTATTCATTCATTTATTGTTTAGACTTCTGGCCGCCCTTCCTTGGAAGCAGGGCCCAGGGTGGGTTACAACAGAATAAAAACACAGTAATCCAAATTAAGTTAATCCAGCATTGAAACACAATACAGAGTCATAAGTAAAAGGGAGTTCCAAGGTGACAAATGATTCGAATAGAAAATTGAAACTACCCAGAGCCTACAAGGGGGCAGGTAAGGAGGGCTGGGAAACCTAAGAGCACCAGACCATGTGCTATCCTGTCGCTTCCTCAGCCGAAAGCCTGGCGGAACAGCTGTCCCTTACAAGCCCTGCAGAAAGAAGCTGCCAGCCCTTACTTATTTTTAAGATGGAGTGACCAGACCTGTAGAGATCTATTCCAAAGGTGGCTGTACCTTGCAGGCATTATGATACTGGCTGTTTCATTATTAGCACCTAAACCTGGTTTGGGCAGAATGAGTTCCTGGCATGCTCAGCTTAGTCTACCTCACAGAATTGCTGTGAGATTAAAACATCACCATGAACAGTTTGGAGAAAGGATGAGAACATTAAATAAATTTCAGGGGCCCCTTCTGCCTGTATTCAGTTAATGATGGAGCCCAAGGCTTTTTTTGTAGAAAAGTCCAGCAGGAACTCATT